CGTCTCCAGGAAAGTTGTCATTTCATGACCTCGTCTCCAGGAAAGTTGTCATGCATGACCTCGTTCTCCAGGAAAGTTGTCATGCATGACCTCGTCTCCAGGAAAGTTGTCATGCATGACCTCGTCTCCAGGAAAGTTGCATGCATGATCTCGTCTCCAGGAAAGTTGTCATGCATGACCTCGTCTCCAGGAAAGTTGTCATGCATGACCTCGTCTCCAGGAAAGTTGTCATGCATGACCTCGTCTCCAGGAAAGTTGTCATGCATGACCTCGTCTCCAGGAAAGTTGTCATGCATGACCTCGTCTCCAGGAAAGTTGTCATGCATGACCTCGTCTCCAGGAAAGTTGTCATGCATGACGTCGTCTCCAGGAAAGTTGTCATGCATGACCTCGTCTCCAGGAAAGTTGTCATGCATGACCTCGTCTCCAGGAAAGTTGTCATGCATGACCTCGTCTCCAGGAAAGTTGTCATGCATGACCTCGTCTCCAGGAAAGTTGTCATGCATGACCTCGTCTCCAGGAAAGTTGTCATGCATGACCTCGTCTCCAGGAAAGTTGTCATGCATGACCTCGTCTCCAGGAAAGTTATAACAGGGAAATTCCATTATGAAAACGTTACTTCAGGAAAAGAGCACAGAGGAAGAGGCTCCTTGAAGATCGTGATGGCTGGAGGGACAAGCAGAGGCGGGCGGTGGGTGGTGGGCGGGACGGACACACAGAAGACTGGATGGGGCGGGGCGGTGGGTGGTGGGCGGGAAGAGAACATTCTTCTTACTGTATCAAACTTGAGTTCATTAACGTCAAAGTTAATATTTTTGCAAGTTCAAACCTTGTTAGCGCACAAGTGTTGCAAAAATTTAAATCTTGCAACAAGCACATGTATAAATGTGTATAATTGTATATATATTATATATATATATATATATATATAATATATATATATATATATATATATATTATATTATATATAATGTATATGTATATGTACGTATATATAAAACTTGCAGCAAGCATAAATCTTGCAACATATACAAGTTTTGTAACATACACGAATCTTGTAACTTAGTTTTGTAACATACACAGTGTCTCGTAGCGTGTACAAGTATTGTAACATGCACAAGTCCTGAAATATACACGAGTCTCGTAACATACACAGAGACCTGCAACATACACAGATCCCTGCAACATACACAGAGCCCTGCAACATACACAGAGCCCTGCAACATACACAGAGCCCTGCAACATACGTAGAGTCCTGCAATATACACTAAGTCTTGTAAAACACACGACTAGTGCAGTTGAGGCGTCTGGTTCTCCACTGTTTCAGAGCCAGAGAGAGTAAGAGGCTACTGTTTAAAGTCACCAGACGAGTTAATGCTAAGGAGATGGGTTTAATTTGTGCTGTATTGGACCTGAGGGATCCAGTGATGAGTTTCTCTTCCCTGCCAGGCTACTCTGCTAGGCAAATCTGTTTTCTGCCCAATGGCAGTGTTTCCTGACGGTAACAGTGTCTGCTTACGGAGAAAAGCATTTGCAGACTGACAACAGAGTTTTCTGACTGAAGATATTTTGTTTACTATGTTATCTTCCCGTCAACAATGTTTGTTTCCCATCAACAGTGTTTTCTTCCCGTCAACAATGTTTTCTTCTCATCAACAGTGTTTTCTTCCCGTCAACAATGTTTTCTTCCCAAGAACAGTGCTTTCTCCCCGCCAATAATCTTATCTTCCAGTAAAAATTGTTATCTTCCCGTCAACAATGTTTTCTTCCCGTCGAGTAAGTTGTCATAAGTCTCCGCTTATTTCTACTTACTCTGCAAATTTCCTTGCAATATCAATGGTGGACAGCGATGTCTCACGTACTCAAGCTGCGAGATCCTGCCGCTCTCTACCCGTGTTAATGTCTGGCTGGAAGCCTGGAAGTGTCCCACTCTGCTACTGCTACACTAACGCTCTCACTACCAACATAGAAGGAACTGCTGGAAATATTCGATGTTGTTCTGAGTGTGTGACTAAGTAACCAAAAGAGCATTTATTTGCTAATTATATTTCTAAAAACATGAATTAGTGCCACTAATAGGAGACAGCATTCAAAATATATTTAAAATGTATATTTTTATAGACAATAATCACAGGATGCAGTGTATTGTGATGTTTGTGTGTGCTCACTTATTTGTGCTTGCAGGGGTCGAGTCACAGCTCCTGGTCCCGCCTCTTTGCTGGTCTGTACTAGGTCACTCTCTCTCCCTTCCAAGAGCTTTATCGCGTATATGTGTGTTTTCGTTTATTAGTTGCTACTGAGGTCGAGTCTCCGCTCCCGGACTCGCCTCACTACTCAACACACTAGATCGTTCCACTTAGTAACGATCTTCTGACTAATAAAATAGATGACATTTTTATGACCTTTGTGTCTCTAGTTTCCGGGTTTTTTCCTTTTAAATATTCTCCCTTGCATGCCTTAATAATATCTTCCCAACGGTAAGATATATTTTGTTCACTCTTTCTTCCCTATCATTTTACTTAGCCAAGGGACAAGTCTATAAGCAAATTTCTGGATTTTATCCAGATTTAGTGACATGGAGGGGGTTCCATGGTGGTGCTGTGTATTCTACGGTGGGTCTGACATACTTCGTATGTCGGGTCCCGAGGAACACTTTGTTGAGGCACCTGAATACCGTTCTTTAGGTTGTCACTTGAGCATACACTGCTAAGGTTATCCGGCCGATGGGCGTCTTAGGTGACATGCTTGGTATAATGCTTACCCCTGGATGTTGCATTTTTTCTGAAGTTTATAGCTTCTGTCTGACAGAATGTATTCAGTATATTGTTTTAACTTCTTCCCCGACTGTCATATACTTGTAACAGCTGAGTCAGTCCACGCCCTTTCGTTGCCAATTCTATAGGTCATTCCGGTTTTTATTCTACTAACGAGCTTTACATCGTCAGCAATAAGACATGTAAAGAGGATGAGGTCAGCCATGTCGCTAACATATATTAGAAACATTAACAGTTACATTATGACATCTTGTAGGAGACCAGTGGTCATCCGGTCATCCCGACACTTTGTAAGAGACCAGTGGTCATCCTGTCATCCCGACACTTTGTAGGAGACCAGTGGTCATCCTGGGTCATTCTGACACCTTGTAGGAGACCAGTGGTCATCCTGTCATCCCGACACTTTGTAGGAGACCAGTGGTCATCCGGTCATCCCGACACTTTGTAGGAGACCAATGGTCATCCTGGGTCATTCTGACATCTTGTAGGAGACCAGTGGTCATCCTGGGTCATTCTGACACCTTGTAGGAGATCAGTGGTCATCCTGGGTCATCCCGACACTTTGTAGGAGCCTGCATCCTGGTTTTTCCAAACCCTTTTAAAAACATTTTTATCCTGGGTTGAGGGGCGTTATCCAATCTGACATCTTTAAAGGGGCCTGTGATTTATTTTGGGTTAATCTCGGGCGAGAGTATAACTGAACATTCCGAAGTTTATTCGGACTTCTTTCATTCTGTCAGTCTGAATCTTCATTTTGGCGTCATTTACAAACCTGGCAAGATGTAAGATTAGCTTCGTAATCACATCTTTGTACCCAGACCAGTGTGATTTATATTTGTGGTAATCCCCGCGAGATCTTATCTGACATTGAATTTCTTAGGACTCTATTCATTCTGTTGTTAGATTCTCTCTCCTTAATTTGCGTCATTTCACCGGACAGATGTAAAGAATTGTTCTTAATCATCATTGTTAAACCAGGATCAGTGTGGCACGTATCTAACTATTACGTTAGTAATCCGAGTTGACTCTCTCCATTATGACATGTGATTTTGTAGGTGACTATTTTTGTGTGTTGAGCTTCTCTGTCCTGTTAATACGCTCTTCCTGTGTTCCGTTTGATGTCTTTAACTTGTTAATGATTCTGTGTGGCTGTATCAAATTTTTTACATGTTGTATTATTGTGTGGTGTGTGTGTGTGGGTGTGTGTGTGTGTGTGTGTGTGTGTGTGTGTGTGTGTGTGGGGTGTGTGTGTGTGTGTGGGTGTGTGTGTGTGGGTGTTTGTGTGTGTGTGTGTGTGTGTGTGTGTGTGTGTGTGTTGTGTGTGTGTGTGTGTGTGTGTGTGTGTGGGTGGGTGTTGTGTGTGTGTGTGTGTGGTGTGTGTGTGTGTGTGGGGGGTGTATGTGTGTGTGTGTGTGTGTGTGGTGGGTGTATGTGTGTGTGTGTGTGTGAGTGGTAAGTGCGTTACTGAGACAAGAACACACTGAGGCAAAAGTAGTAACCTAATTCAGTTGGACAATACAGCCAATGGGGTTTTAAAAGCCTTGCATTAACCACTCTGCCAGGAGTCACTACCATGACTGCCTCTCAGTAATGTTGAAGTGTACTCTTACGGCTGCCCAGGTGCGCCTTCCTCTTATTATTGTTATTATTATTATTATTATTATTATTATTATATTATTATTATTATTATTATTATTATTATTATTATTATTATGTTATTATTATTATTATTATTATTATTATTATTATTATATTATTATTATTATTATTATTATTATTAATTATTATTATTATGTATTTATTATTATTATTATTATTATTATTATATTATTATTATTATTATTATTATTGTTATTATTATTATTATTATTATTATTATTATTATTATTATTATTATTATTATTATTACTATTATTATTATTATTGCTGTTGTTGTCATCGTTATTATTAGCAGAATTATAATTAATTATTTATAATCAATGCTTCTACTTTTATATGCTTAATAATAATAATAATAATAATAATAACCATGGTGGTAATAGTAGTGTTACTAGCATCAATAGTAATATTAAAATAGTAGTCTTGGTAGTATTAGTGGCAGATGTATAAGTACTGGT